ATCCGGATGAGTGTATATATATACATGTATAATTACACCTGACAATGTCATTTTGGGACCAAATTGCAATCTTTTTTGTTTGAGCAAGGAAGTTCGGGCAGATCCAGAAGAACACGGTGGGCGATGTTCTTCTGGATCGAGGGAATGCTGAAGGAGCTGGAGCAGGCCAGCAGCTGTGGAACCATTGGAAAAGCTTGGGATGACCATTTCTGATGTGCTTAATTTGCTTTCATTGCGCTCATAGCATGTACAGTGTGTAATCATTGCAGGTAACTAAACTATACAGATATAAGCAAGTCAGCCCGTGCATATGTCAGGAGAAATCCACATTTGCTAAATGCAATGTCATTCATTCACCCACCGCGTATCATTCATCTATAGATAAGATTCTTATCATAACATAATTATATTTAATGAGGTTTTGCTGCAACCTAATCCGATCACATTTTTGCCGATTCCAAGATTTCGATGAGATAGCCAGCTCCAAGGAAGCACCTCGGAGCTTGATTTCGGCCACTCCATGCTACTCCATGCCACACCGGGCCTGGGATGGCTTTTGGTTCAGCGGGAATATGGTTGTAAGATGTTGTAAGCACCCGCTTCTCAGATGGCCACACTAGATTTTTCGTTTTCTTACCGTTATTACCCCGGAATCCCTTTAGGATGCCAAAGTCAGGATATAGTTTTTTCTCGATTTTAATATGGTTTTTGATACAATTGGAAGATATGAATTTGATACGTTTTGAATTTAGGGTTATCCCCAACAGCGTAAGCTAATGGCGTCTTGAGCCCAGAATAGCTCCAGTGTGCACTGGTGCAGGCGCCGGGTCAAGTTCAACGAGGTTCCGGAGAAGGTTCCGGAGAAGGTCTGGGAGGCTTTACAGGGTTCCGGAGAAGGTTCCGGAGAAGGTCTGGGAAGCTTTGGTGCAGAGCCAGGTCAGGTTCAGCTTTGGTGCAGAGCCAGGTCAGGTTCAACAGGGGTCCGGAGAAGGTTCCAGAGAAGGACAGACCCGAGCCTGGTCAGGTTCAACAAGGTTCCGGAGAAGGTTCCGGAGAAGGTCTAGGAGGCTTTGGTGCAGAGCCAGGTCGGGTTCAACAGGGTTCCGGAGAAGGTGAAGGTCTGGGAGGCTTTGGTGCATAGCCAGGTCAGGTTCAAACAACATGGGTTCCGGAGAAGGTTCCAGAGAAGGTCTGGGAGGCTTTGGTGCAGAGCCAAGCCTGGTCAGGTTCAATAGGGTTCCGGAAAAGGTGAAGGTCTGGGAAGCTTTGGTGCAGAGCCAGGTCAGGTTCAACAGGGTTCCGGAAAAGGTTCCGGAGAAGGTCTGGGGAGGCTTTGGTGCAGACCTGAGCCTGGTCAGGTTCAACAGGGTTCCGGCTTTCAGGTCGGGTTCAACAGGGTTCCGGAGAAGGTGAAGGTCTGGGAGGCTTTGGTGCAGAGCCAGGTTAGGTTCAAACAACATGGGTTCCAGAGAAGGTCTGGGAGGCTTTGGTGCACAGCCGGGCCTGGTCAGGTTCAGCAGGGTTCCGGGTCTGGAGAAGGTGTGGGAGGCTTTGGTGCATAGGGCTCCCCGAAAGGTGAAGGTCTGTGAGGCCTTGGTGCAAAGCCAGGTCAGGTGCAACAGGGTTCCGGAAAAGGTTCCGGTGAAGGTCTGGGAGGCTTTGGTGCAGAGCCAGGTCAGGGTCAACAGGGTTCCGTTCCGGAGAAGGTCTGGGAGGCTTTTGTGCAGACCCAGCTGAGGTATTTTCCAGCGCTTGGGTTGCAGCACGCTTCAGAAAGATTTATAAAAATAAAAAGTTGCGGCTGCTGGGGATACCACTGAAGCTTATGTTTTTGATATGGTTTGGGTTATGGCGGTTATGGTTTAGAAATGGTTTTGGAATGTTTTGGATGTGATTTTGATATGGTTTGGGAACGGGGCGCCTTTTTCAGTGTTCCCGACGGGTTGGCTTCAAGAAACGAAACAGAAACAACCCGGGGCAGCCTTTTGGTCGATTTCTCGAGGGTTTTGGTGGTTTTGATATGATTCTGCTATGGTTTTGATACGATTTTGATACAAGTTCGATACGATTTTGATATTATTTTGATACGATTTTGATATGGTTCCAATGAGTTGGCTTCAAATAAAGGAACCAGAAAAAACTCAGGGACAAATTTTTGGTCGATTTTTTGATGTTTTTTTTTCCCCTGTGGTTTTCCCACGATTTTGATACGGTTTTGATACGATTTTGATACGGTTTTGATACGATTTTGATATGGTTTTGATACGATTTTGGATATGTTGGCTTCAAATCACAATTCTGACCCACATCAAGAATCATAACTGAAACCATATCAAAATCGAATCTAAAACCGTATCAACATCATAACTGCAAAACCACGCCAGAAACAATTCATAACAACAGGTCATATCTGAAACGCATCAAAATCATAAAAATAGTTACTTTAAAAAACCTTCATCCTAGAGACTTCGGATGTTATAATCTTACCGATTACCGGATGAGTCAAACATGTCTTGCAGCTTATAATCCTTGACTCCTTGACCGGTTTGTTTCTGTCGAAGGCATGCTTTGTCTACAACTTTAGAAGACGAAGACTCTTGCAAAAAGTCCTAGTTGCCCATCGATACCACCTGACGAAGCTGGAGCAGCTGCAGCGCAAAGTCATGGATGAGACTCGGCAGTCTAGCCTAGTGAGCCTGGTGGTAGGATGCAAGATGCACATGTAACAATTGTTTCTTTGTTTCTTTCTGGACAATGAGTGCAGGGATTCCTGACTGTCATCTTGACCGGTAGTCAAGTCGGAGCACCTGCTACTGACGCTGCTGTGATTAAGGCTCATGTCGATGTGGACAGCTTGGACGGTTTGAAGGACATTCTACATCAACGGGGTCCTGAACCAGCGGGCCTCGAGGTCTCTGGGACATCTGACTGGTGAATTTTAAGCATTTGTTCGTGCCTGACTTCCCTCCAACGACTCTTTTCCTGGATGTTGGCCCTGGCCATAAGCCCATGGAAAAGAAGAGTCGTTGGAGGGAAGTCAGGCACGAACAAATGCTCTATTTTCACCAGTCACATGGCGCAAGGGAACATCTTCAGTTGCTCATTGGATCATATTGGATCTAGGGTCTCCAAACAAGAATGTTCCCTGCCAGCCTTCGTGGCGATTTTCCACCCGTACGTGGTTGGCGATGTTAGCGATGCTGCTGCCGATGCTGATAGTGATTCTGTTGAGGTCAATGGATTTACAACAACAAAGCCCGAAAGTTCCTCCACGTGGCACGAGGTGAGGCTCTCGATCTTAGTTTCTTGTCGGGCAAGCTAGCCCCCCCACGTGCCAGGGCTTTTCAGGAGCTTAATTTCGATGGGAGGAAGTTCAGTGGTTGGTACCTTTATATCCCGCATTTAGGCACTTTGGGCCACAAGCCTGACTTGCAGGAGGTCATAATGTTCAGCCAACTCTGTTGCAGACCATTACCCAAATCCAGACGATAATGAGTCACAAGACAACGGAAATATGATTCATTGACTTCGTCAAAAAGAAGTACAATAATAGCTTTAAGCAGGGAATGATGGTGACAATGTGCCACTATCCGTACAGAACTTTGCCGGTCAGACCCCCAGACGTTCAAAGCTCCTAGGAAAATTGCATAATTCCTGCTGAATATTTGTCGATTGGCTTTCTCTGACTTGCTTCATTACCAGGGGAGGGCACGTACATCACCCACCCCTAAAAAATTATTTTAGGGGAGGGGGTTAGGGAAACACATTTATCGTCCTCCAAAAATTGACTCCCCAGGACCCCCCTAAATACATTTTTTGACGAGGTGGTGTCTGAAAAATATAGGATCCATGGGTCGGGATATCTGCCACCCCCCAGGATCTTTTATCTTGGGGAGGTGGGTTAATACATTTTACGTGTTTTGTTTTTTCCAGGATCCCCGGGAATGTCCAATTTTTTTCTGGGGAATACCCTTCTTTGAAAAAGTATTTCGGGGGGGTTGGGCAGACGAAATGCACATCATTTTGGGCAAATGGATTTTATACATCTTGCTAAGGGAGTCGTTTGTACCCCCTGCAAGGCATACATTTCAGCACATTTCAGCAAATTTCAGATCCAACATGGGTGTTAACCCCTCGCTCTTTGCCAAAAACGTATGGGAACTAGGGAGTAACCCCTCAAAATGAGGCATGTATGAGGGACATGTATTCTTTGTAGTGGTATTGAACCTGAAAATGTATGCTTTGTGGGGGTACAACTGACAAGAGCCAATGGATTTGTAAATGTATGGAAGCATGGCGGTTCTGCACCTCAATCCCGTTGATCTCTTTTTCCCGGGAAACCTTTTGAAACCCGTGAGAACCAGAAGATCACCTGGGAATACCTGGGGTCACCTAAAAACAAACACATACAGACAGACACGCACCACTCCCAAGATATGACACCAATTCACAAGACAATCGCTGTTGTTTTTTCATGGGGCGCCGTGCCGTCAGGATCCATCAGGGTTAGACCGTTAATTAGATACTGTCAAGTGAACGCCATGGGGCAACATTTGAAAAAAATAGGATCCACCCCCCTACTCCTGAACCAGTTGGGGTGGTGATTTCCCCCCCGGAGCACAACCCGCAGGTGTCATGACGAGGTACTGCATATTTGATGGCGACGCTATTGAGGTCAGAGTCCACTACTTCAAGGATGCGGGTCGCAAGCGGTTTAGACCCGGGTGATCAAGGGGAAACTTGAGAGATCTTTGGAGATCAGATTTCTTGGGCGTGTATAAAACTTTCTGAATTTGAATATGTTATGTATACAAATGCAAACATATATGTATATACCAGCTACGTATCTATTTTTCTCCCCCTGCTACATACTAGAGATAGACAAACAAGTAAATGAACAAGCAGATAAATACACGAACAATGATAGCTGGATACATACAGAAATTATATATACGTATATGTATATATATATATATGCATACATAGGCATATGCAAATGA